AGATACTGAAGAACTAACAGGTTGGTGTTTATTCTTCAGTCTTCACTAATAATGCTGACGGTTATACAGCTTCAGGTAGTTTTATAGTGATGTAATTTATGTGTGTTGTAATTGGAAAACTCTTTAGAGCTCTCCAATAATATAACTAATTAATCACTTTCTATGATCTGGGTACTTTTTTGCAACCAAATTATTTGTTAGATAATTGTGTTGTTGATCATGTACACGTAAAACATGTAAACGTTTTTCCTGCAGAAACAATGGATTTGTGTTTATAATCTTTTAAAAATCATAATTTGAAGATCAATGTACCTCATTCATGAAAAGTTTCAGAGACGTTTATATAAAATATACTAGATGTATTTATAAAACTGCATCAAAATTATCAACATTTTGTGTAGCAATTGTCTACTTTTTCACTTTTTTGAGTTACTGACAAATGAACTGTTTTTGCATTTATTTCAGAGTTGATTGAAGACAATGAAAAACCTTTGAGTTGCTGTCAAAGAAAACAGATAATATCAAAGAAAACAAGAGCCAAAAAATCTTTCACCTGCACTCAGTGTGGAAAGAGTTTGACAAACAGATATAGTCTTGATGTTCACAAGAGAGTTCATACTGGAGAAAAACCTTACAAGTGTTCACACTGTGACAAGAGATTCAGTCAGTCAACACATCTAAAAACACACGAAGTGATTCATACTGGAGAGAAACCTTACAAGTGTTCACACTGTGACAAGAGATTCAGTCAGTCATCAACTCTGAAAATACACGAGAGGATTCACACTGGAGAGAAACCATACAAGTGTTCACACTGTGACAAGAGCTTCAGAGATTCAGGAGACCTGAAAACACATGAGAGGATCCACGCTGGAGAGAAACCGTGCACATGTGATCAGTGCGGGAAGAGTTTCACACAAAAAGGACACCTTACAGCACACATGAGAGTTCATACTGGAGAGAAACCGTACACTTGTGATCAGTGCGGGAAGAGTTTCTCACACTCAGCACACCTTAAGGTACACAAGAACATCCACACTAGAGAGAAACTCTACACATGTGATCAATGCGGAAAAACATTTTTGAGCGCTTCATACCTGAAAACACACCTGAGAGTTCATACAAAGGAGAAGCCACATTCATGTTATTTGTGTGGAAAGAGTTTTGCACGTCTAGATCATTTAAAAGAACATCAGAAAATTCATACTGGTGTGAGAGAGTACATGTGCTTTGAGTGTGAGAAGACTTTTACTTCAGCGAACAGTTTAAAACAGCACGAGAGGATCCACACTGGAGAGAAACCATATAAGTGTTCACACTGTGACAAGAGATTCAGTGATTCATCAAATCTGAAAACACACGAGAGGATTCACACTGGAGAGAAACCTTATAAGTGTTCACACTGTGACAAGAGATTCAGTGATTCATCAAATCTGAAAACACATGAGATGATCCACACTGGAGAGAAACTTCATCACTGCACTGCATGTGGGAAGCGTTTCAATCAATCTTCTCATCTACACACACATACAAAAAACAATCACAGTAAGTAGATCATCTTCAGATCCAGCTCTTTCAGGTCTGATGCTGCCTCCTCACCAAATGTGACACAATAATGCATCGAGTAGTGAAATATCATCTGGATAAATCTGTCATTACAAGTGACATGACAAAGAAACATTATCTAAAGTTTTCACAGTGAATAAAGTTCATCTTCAAAACCAGCAGATTCAGTGAGATTCAGATCAACTCAAAGATGGAGTTCCTCCCCAAAGAACAATGTCAAAAAGTTTTACTCTTGAATTTCATTTTGCTTCATGATATAATTTATATCAGTGTGTTTTCTTATGAGTTTGATATTATGTTCAATTGTCTTATAATGCATATTTATCACTTGTAGTTTGCTTACTCTTTCATGAGGGAAAGCAGAAGTTTTTATAAACCGTTCTTGCGGCCCTCTACGGACACCTTGGCAATTGAATCACCATTGGCTAGTACA